TATATATATATATTTGTACTTTATTTATGACAATAATAACGGGAGTATTATTGATAATGTCAGTTGCAATTTTTGCGCATTTTTATTACAGACGTTTCATTACATTAACATAACAAAATCTATACTTTCAAGGTACATGATCGTTTAAAATGTTGTCTACCTGTGAGATCTTTAAGAATTATGCGCAGTGTTCAAGCTCCTGCACAGAGAACATTTATTAAGCTAAATTAGTCTCATTATTTAATGTCATTGTTTTATTTATTCCCATGAACTTACCGATCGCAAGCGCTTGGACACTTCGATAAGATTAAAGCGATCACAGACAGAGGCATTTCAAAGGTGATTGCTGTGAATACCTAAGTAGACACAGAGGCTAATACTTTTACGATTTCTAGGATATCCGTACTACGTAGGCATTCTCACGCATTATCACCGTTTTACGATAATAGAGGCTGCAAAACCGACAAATCGAGTTTGTAACGTAAACTCCGTGTCTTGCCTTGTGTAATGATCTATCTAATATAATATCGATAATGTAATTATATCGATAAAGCAGTGATTAATGTAAAATCGTATAATTGCATATTGTAACAATCTGAATATATTATATATATATAACTCGTATTTTTTTTTTTTTCTTTTTTTTTTTAATCGATAATATTGTAAAATGTAAAAAGTATCATGTAAAGCAATCATCGAATTGGACGCCAAAATATCTTACGAGATAATAATAAAGATCGAAATATGATAAAAGAATTATTAATAATATTTTCTAAAAAAGTGAAGTGAAGAATTCCTTATACCACGCTCTTGTTAAGCTCTCTGTTATTTATATGATCCGTCCTAGTTCGTCTATGATTATCCGTCAATAGAAAGTATTTACTTCTAGTAGACCGTCGTGTTATAGTTCTGAAGGCACTGTTCAAAAGTTGACTATTTTTTTTTTTTTCTTTTTTTTTTTGAAATAACAAGTCTTCAAAACATCTTCAAACGATCCGACATGGAAAATCGTTACAAACATCGACGCAATTTTCACATGCCCCGCTTGAACTATATCACAAAACTCAAAATAGAGTAGTTTCAACTTGACAGCCAGTGCCAATGCCAATGCCATATTTATCGGGTCTGTGATCGGTTAGGAATATCATGAGCTAGCAAATCGATGGTCAGAATTCAGGCTTATGATACGCAATGGCCGGTGCGTTCCATTAATTATGTATCAATATCGTATCATTATATTACACAAACGCTTATTAATTTAGAGGCACATTGCTAAGGGTCTTGGTTCTTAAAAGTTGCTCCCTACATTAATGACAACTTATGACAATCTAGCTATTATAATTATTCAGTACGACAGCGATTTGGCATATAATATGGAAACTGTACAAGAGAATATAAGAGAATATAATAATATTCAAACTATTGCTCTGTACACATAAAAGTAGAACATGGCTAAAAAGGCCGATATATTGTGAAAAAATTTTTTTATAGTTTTAAGATGTTTCGCAAATTTGTATTTTGAGCTTAATAAGAAGAAAAAAAAAGAGGGTGAAATATAAAATTGTCGTGTGCAAAAAAAAAAAAAAAAAAAA